CAAGGGAGGATGGGAAACGAGAGGGGGGAGGGACAAGGAGAGGAAAGGCAAAAGGGTAAGAGAAAAGCGGTGTCGTATGTGGTGGTGATATGCGGTGTGGTATGCGGGGAATGTGTAAAGGGCAGAGCAGGGAGAGCAGCGATGGCAGATATGGTCAAGCGAGAAAATGAACGTTGGAGAAAATGAGCAGCGTGAAAAACAACAGTCACAGAGGTGTGTATGTGTGTATGTGTGTGTGTGGATATGACAGCGTTCGTGAGCGACGAGCAAGACAATGGATACAGAAGCAATGCACGTTTCAATGCAGTGTGCTTGTGGTTGGATGACGTGTACAGATGTGCGTGCGTGTGTGCGTGTGTGTGTGTGTGTGTGTGTGTGTGTGTGTGTAGCAGCAGCAGCAGCGTCAACACAATGAGAGAGAGAGAGAATTCCAGGAAATAGGACGTGTTGATACGCCAACGAAAGGAGAGACACCCACCAAACCCTGTGGGGGAGAGAGGAGAACAGTGTGGCAAACAAGTGTAGCGGTGGTTGGATGTGCTGGTTGGTGGTGGTTCTGGCTGCACGTGTGGTGGTGGTTGGCGTAGTCGTGAACACAAGCGAACGACCAGAAGACAAAGGCCATAACACAGAAACGGGGGGAACCGAAAATTTGAAAATCACACCCAACACGTCCACCACACACTGTGTGGTGTCTAGTGTTGACAACAACCAGAGAACGAAAGAGGCATTATTGGGTAACACATGAACTGGAGACGCGGGAGACAAGGAAGGCAGTGACAGTCGACAGAAGCAACAGTGTAGGCCAGCAACAACCACCACAACCAACAGCAACAACCGTTGCGGGAGGGGGAAGGTTGGCTGTGACAACCATCAACACGCTTGGGAAGCGAAAGAGAAGAACAAGAGATTGGGCAGGCGGGTGGAAGGAAGGAACGATGGGCAAAAGGGCAAGGAAATGGCGAAGAAGAGGTTGGTGCTGTGTGTGTGTGTGCGCGCGCGTGTGTGTGTGTGTGTGCTGCGTGTGTGTGTGTGTGTGCGCGGGTGTGTGTGTGTGTTTGTGTGTGTGTGTGTGCGTGCGTGTGTGTGTGTGTGTGTGTGTGTGTGTGTGTGTGTGTGTGTGTGTGTGTGTGTGTGTGTGTGTGTGTGTGTGTGTGTGTGTGTGTGTGTGTGTGCGTGCACGTACCCCTGTCTGGATTGACTGGAACATGGAGTCGAAGCGGTTGCGAATTTCTGCTGCTTGACTGTCGCTCTCATCCGATGAATCTGACGAGCGAACGCCGACACCGTCATGGTATTGGTGTTGGTGGTGGTATTGGTGGTGGTATTGGTGTTGGTGGTGTTGGTGGTGTTGGTATTGGTATTGGTATTGGTGTTGGTATTGGTGTTGGTGGTGTTGTTGTTGTTGTTGTCGTCGTCGTTGTTGTTGATGTGGAAAATGGTAGTAGAGGCAGGTAGTTTAGTGGTGAGAAATGGAGGAAAATTGTGACGTGACGACGGTGATGGTGCGGAACCAGCCGACAGCAGCAGCAGCAGCGGCAGTCGCAGTACACATGTGAACAGGACCAGTATGCGTGCACGTATGCAAGGTGGGGCCATGTGTGGCAGCGGCAGTGCGATTCCGAACCACCGTCACCACCATCATCTTCGCAGTCGTCACCAACCCACGCATGTGTGTGTGCACGTTGGTGCGACGTCGTGTTGGTGTCCACTCACCACTATCGTCATCGGTGTCTGTTGATGCAAATACATTCAGGTGTATGTGTGATTGAGTGAGTGTGTATGTGTGATTGAATGTCAGCGCGTGCATGCAGGGATGTGTATATGTGTGTATATATGTGTGTATGTGTGCACGCGTGAATGGCAGCATGCACGTGCCTGCATGCACGTAACTCGCAAGTAGACAACTTGCAAGCACGTGTACATGCATGGATGCGTTCTTACCGATTGTTGGTGATGGGTTCAATCGGAGCTGGTTCTGACGCTGCATACAGATGACCACAAGTACACACACACACACGCACGCACACGCACATACGACATGAACATGCAAGTGATGGCGGTGAGGTGAGTTATGGCAGGCAAGGATGGCCTTGCACCTGCATCAGCTCAACCAAATCCATGTCCGCACATGCACACGCACGCACGCACGCCTGCATTCGGAAGTGTCGAATCAGGTATAGTTCTACACACACGCACACACGCACACACGCACATATGTACACATACGCACGCACACACACGTGTACACACAACTACGCACGAGCTGCTCACCACGTTGGTGCGGGCGTTGAGGACGGCGGTGTCGGATGCAAACGACTCCGCACGCGACGGACCAGAGCTCTCATCACCATCACCCCCATCACCACCACCACCACCACCACCACTGCCGCTTGTATCGCCCTTGGTTTTGCCTTTCGTCTTGGCCTTGGCTGCTGTCTTGGCTTGGCTGTCCCCTTCCACTGCTGCTGCGGCTGCTGGTGACGATGTTCGCGTTTGCGCTTGCGCTTGAACACGTTGCTGCTGCTGCTGCTGCTGCTGCTGCTGTGCGAGTGCGACCAAGTTGTTGTTGCTCGTGTCTCGCGATGGTGCCCCGCTGCCTCCCTGCTGCTGCTGCTGCTGCTGATAGTACTCCACGTGGTCCATCTGCCCCAGCGATGATGGCGGCGGCTGCTGGTGCTGCTGGTGTTGATGATGTGGAGGAAGGAGGGGAAGGCGATCAGAGATGGGCGTGTGTTGTTGCTGTTGCTGTTGCTGTTGTTGTTGCATGTGCTGCTGTTGTTGCTGGTACAGCGGGTGTTGCTGGTACAGCAGGTGTTGCTGTGACGGAAGCGCATGATAACCGCTCGCAGGATGCGACAACGATTGGGGCGGTGGCGGTGGCTGCTGCTGCGGATACTGCTGGTGAACATGGGGCTGCTGCTCCGGATACTGCTGGTGGTGGTGGTGGTGGTGCGGTAGCAGCACGGCGTGGGGAGCGGTGATGGGGCTCATCCCGCCAGGATGCACCGTCTATTGCGTGCGTGCGTGCGTGCGTGCGTGCGTGCGTGTGTGTGTGTGTGTGCGTGCGTGCGTGTGTGTTGGTTGGAGATACGATGGAGGGAAGGGTTATAGTGAATGCTGCAGCGTGACGGAATGCTGTGAAGATGAACAACAACACGTGAAATGACAGAACAACAAATATGCCCGCCTCTACAGGCAGTGTCATCAAAATAGCACACGTCCATGCAGACACACACACACACACATACATCCACAAAGACATGTTTATCCCCGAATCACAGAGATCAAAACACACATGCACGCACATCAAATCACACCTGCAGAACGGGTGATGCGTGCGCGTGTTGGCCGGGAGGCGGTTGGTACTGTGGATGGATTGGATGCACCATGCCAGGGTGTGGTAACCACATCTGTTGTTGTGGTTGTTGTTGTTGTTGTTGTTGTTGTTGTTGTTGTTGTTGTTGTTGTTGTTGTTGTTGTTGTTGTTGTTGTTGTTGTTGTTGTTGTTGTTGTTGTTGTTGTTGTTGGTGCTGGTGACCCGGGGGCGGTGTGTATGATGTGCGTTGCTGCGGCTGCTGCTGTACCGGCCGCGAAGTCGACACGGGCATTGTCTGCACACGTGGTCGCATCCCGTCCTCAGACACCTGCCGTTCCCGTCCCCCATACTTCCCCTCGTCCTTCTCATCCCCCTTTGTCCCCTGCTGCTGCTGCTGCTGCTGCTGGTTGGTGCCTGCTGCCTGCAGGGGAGAGCGGCTGTGGCGCTGCTGCACGCGAGCACGCGCACGCAGGGCGGCGTCGTCGGAGGCTGCGGTGGCGGTTGGTGGTGGAGGTGGTGGTGGTGGTAGTGGTGGTGAGATGAGCACGGTATTGCAAAGGCTCCACAGCGAATGAATGATCACCAACTGCAATTGCATCTGACAGACACGTGTGCACACAATGACAGTGACATGTGCTCACCAGCAGAGGAGCTGCGCACTGCAGACCGGAGACGATGAAGTCGTGTATGGTGATGGCGTGGGTTATGTGTGGGTTATGTGTGGGTTATGTGTGTGCCTTCGCGTGTGAAGATGCGTGCGAGTGCGATCTATGCGTGTTGAGGTGCAACAGCAACAGAGGACAAAGCAAGCCAGAGCGACACGGCAGCGTGTTCTGCAACAATATCAATTTCCATCACTCACGTTTGGACGAGCGGCGAACGACAAAATGCTGATGATGACCATGATGATGGTGGTGGTGGTGATGGTGATGGTGGTGATGATGACGGTATGGGAAGCGTGAGTGACAGGTTCAAATCCAAGGACATACATGCAGCACACAAGCACACGCGCACACATGCATGTAAACACGCACACACACGCAGGCACTTTCTGCATCATCTTGCTTGTCGTTCAGTCCTCACCTCGTGCGGACGCGGGTGGAACGTGGCGGAGAAGCCGACAAACGTGACGCTCTGCAGGGACAGAAGAAACACATCCGGCGAGGCCATGAACGGCGTGTCACCTAATGCCGTGTTGTTGTTGGTCATGGTTATGGTGGCGGGTGGTGAGCATGTGGTCGATGGTGGTGAGCGTGTGGGGCTGGTGGTGAATGTGTGGGGCTGGTTGTGGCATCTGAAGCGCAACAGGGTGTGGGTGTGCACAAACAAGGCATCGGCCACGCTCCCAACCACCACCACCACCATCACCACCACCACCACTGCTGCTGCCTTCGTACTGTTGAGTGGCGGCGCGGCGTTGAAGTGGACCTCGTATTTCAGCAGCGGCGCTGCAGGATCCTGCGACAACCTGAGGCGGGGGATGTGTATGTGTGTATGTGTGTATATGTGTATGTGTGTGTATGTGTGTGTATGTGTGTGTGTGTTGTGTTGTGTTATGTGTTGTATTATGTGTGTTATGTGTTGTATTATGTGTGTGTTGTGTGCGTACATGTGCATGTCATGTTGAGGAATTGTTTTGATTGTGTGTGAGCGGACGTGTGCAATCGAGGGCATCACAGCCTGGTACCTCAACACTTTGCAGCACCGCTCACACACAAGCGAAACAACTTCAACAAAAAGCACACAGCACACAATCCCACAGCACACCTCCACCGCACACAGCACACAACCCCACACAATGACTATCACACAACCCCAATCACCGCCCCCCCCCCAAATGCGTCACCTGTAGAGTGGGAGGAGTCGGAGGCGCAGGTGGAGGGCGCGGAAGAAGACGACGGTGGAGAGGGTGGTGACGTGTTTCGTCTCCGGGCGCAGCTGTATCTTCCATCGCTCAAGCACCACCCGCTCCCCCTTTGTGGTGGTGGTGGTGGTGGTCGTGGCGGCAATGGAACATGGCGTGTGGTTGATGAGTTGGTTTGTTGGTTGGTTGCCACATGTATTGTGATGCATGAGGAGGTATGTGTGGGCTGTACCATGATTGAAGGGATTATTCCAAGAGCTATGGGGGAAATCCAGCGAACAAAGGCGCACGCGTTCGCAACCAACGTGCCACCGCTGCACTCTCTAACCTCAAAGTCGTGGATGATGTCGACGTAGAGATCGACCTGGTTTGTCGTTGGGCGCCGGTCCTTCCACGCCTTTGCTACCGCATCCTGTACACCCCCACCACAGGCAGTGGACACACGTACATTGTTACCTACCACACACACACACACACACACACACACACACACACACACACACACACACACACACACACACACACACACACACACACACACACACACACACACACACACACACAGAGCAATCGTGCCTGCTTTTCACCATCGACAACCAAACTCACGGTGACGGTCGGGTTGTGGATGTACTTGAGGCCACGCCAGTCCTGTTCCAAGGCAAGGTCATTCACGAGCATGGGGTGGTCAGGGTCAGCGCGCATACACGTCTCGTAGGTTCACATACAGAGAGAGGGGGCGGGACCAACATACACATGAAATACCGCACGCATACACCTCATATGTGTGACACTTACGGTTGTCCTTAGACTGGTGTTCTTGCTTGTGTGCCGGCTGCCCAAGATGACTTGACACACCTGCATCCGCAACAACAACGAAAGGTGGACGGAAACGTGGATGAGACAGCGCGGTACCTTCAAGGCAAGCGCGCGCACACCTCAACACACACACACACACACACACACAACACATGCACAAGCACGCACACGCACACACACACACGCACGCACACACACACACACACACACACACACACACACACACACACGCACGCACACACACACACACACACACACACACACACACACACACACACACACACACACACACCGTGTCGAAGAAAGCGAGCTGCGACTTGTGCGCCATGAGGTCTTCCTTTGGCGCACTCCACGGGTCATGGAGAGTGGTCATGATGGCACGGGACGAACGCGTCAGGTGTGAAGAACCATCCAGCGAATGAGCAAGGGAAAAATGAATGAACTGGGCTACACACACACACATGTTTGTACGCGCGCGTGTAGACAAGAGAACGTAGAAGAACTCATCCAGACACAACACACACACGCATACACACACGTGTTCACAAACAGAAACGGCCAACACGACACAACGACAACGATAACATTGTCGCATTATTGTGGTGGACGACGAGACAAACAAGCACAGTTCTCTCTCTGTCGAAGAAGAAGAAGAAGAAGAAGACGACTGTCCACGAACAAAGAACGCCTTTGGCGTTGCTATACTCACCAAGGCTTCACGATCACTAACGCGTGAACAAGGGCGAACAGGCGGTGTCTGTTCGTGTGTGGTGCTCCTCGCGCAACAACGACGATGTGATGTTGTGATGTGAGCGGCACAGCGTCGCTTGATCACTCAGCAAGCAAGCGTTTGTCAGCGAGAGCTGCTGGCTGGGTGGTTGGCCTTTTTGTTCAGTTTTCTTCTGTTGCGCTGCTTCTGTGCACTACTATTTGTGTTGTCGTAAACAAAATCGGAAGGACTCGCCAGTTTGTTTTGATTTGTATTTGTGGTGTCGGCTTGCATATCGCACGACTGCACGGTGCGTTTGTTACTCCACGCACACACACACACACACACACACACACATGTCGCTGTCGCATCAGTGCCGTATGCAGTGTGTTGTTGCTTTATGTTTCGCATGGCTACGCATTCAAGCAGGTGGCTGAGTTGGAGTATGATGGCTAACCAGAACTGGATCAGGGAGGCGAGTTGCTTGTTACCGCGTTGGAGCAGAGCTGGAAAAGGTGGGAACAAGAAGAAGTCAATAAAGGCATAAGTTCACTGGGAACTGAAGGTGCACTGGTGCAGGAGTGCTGTAGGGCTCTGGCTGGAAATGTACGTTGGGTTGAAATGAAACACAAAGTCGTAGGAAGGTAACGGGAAAGCGCCAAGCCGATTGTGGGAAATCCTGCAAGAGAAGACCAGCAGCCAGCTCATGGCTGCAAGCACGGCCTTCATCTTCAGCGGCAGTGATCAACGAGCACAGGCCTATGGAGAACAGAAAGAGCCAGCTCCCAGCGTTGGTTTGGTCGAGTGTAGGACTGTGTGCACTTGAAGAAGAAGATTTGACGCTCTTGTGCACACACCAAGGATCCAAGGAGGGGCACGAAGCTACGAGTGTTTTAGCTTCGAAGCGGTGATGATACATGTCATGGCCACGTTGCACAATGTCTGCAGGTGCGGCGTGTGCGTGTTTGAGCGAGGAACAGATCCGCATCAGATGATGGAGGAAGAAGAGGAGGAGGGGGGTGAGCGTGAGTTGGCGGTGAACAACAGCACGTGTTCATTGTCTTGTGTGTACATGTGTATGTGTGTGTTTTGTGTGGTGATGATCAGGTCGACCACAGCACATCATCGGAAAGCACTTCGACAGAGTCGCTTGTAGTGACATCAATACAGCATCGTGTGCAATCACGTCCCATCATTGCTGATGGTTTGCTTGCACTGGGATCGTGATGCATGTAACACGCAAGCACACATCACACTGATGACGCAGGCTGAATAATGGGACAGCGGAAAGAAATTGGTCGTGACACACACACACACACACACATGACTGCTCCACTGACGTGATGACTGTGTGGAAACTCGTGTTTTTCCATCAAGCCATCCATCCTCGTTCATCGTGTCTACCCCAACACACACACACACACACACACACACACACACACACACACACACACACACACACACACACACACACACACACACAGGGTCTCCTCACCTGAAATGCGGTGTTGGACTGCAGCTTTAACCACGACTTGGAAAAGGGAGGGGAGAAGTGGAGCTGGTTCGTCTGGCTGCGCGGCACGAACCGTAACGAGAACGACGCTAGGTCGTCAAGGTGGTGAGTTGTGAGCCAGGCCTTGACCTTTGCCTCATCACCATCCAGCTTCGCAATGGCCCGCTTCAGCGCATCCGACACAATCTGCCCCTGCCGCTGTCTTGCGTGCTTTGCAGCCTGCACACACACACCATGCACATGAGGTTTGGTGTGTGTGTGTGTGTGTGTGCGTGTGTGCGTGCATGCGTATGTGTGTGTGTGTGTGCGTATCGTATGTGAGAGATTGCACAGGCCAAAGTATCAATGTGCCGTGAGGAGCAAAGAAACAAACAAAGCGAAGCGAACCACACACACACACACACACACACACACACACACACACACACACACACACACACACACACACACACGTGATAGCAGTACGCTTCACACAGCCACAACCACCAGCACCCACCCCCATCACCAAGCAACACCAATCACCAATCACCAAGCAACACCAATCACCAATCATCCTATCATCCTATCATCACGCACCAGGACGGCGCCGACGATGACGGCGTGCAGAAAGAGATGCGATGGAAGGCGATCAACCACCTTCCGCGCCTCCTCAATGCGCTCTCGGTCAATCTTGCGCACTTCCGTGAGCTCGACTCGTCGCAGCAGTAGTGCTGTCGGCGACACATCCTTCTGCCCATAAGGGATGGCTGCACGCCACACAAGAACAAACAGGAAACATTCATGTCATGTGATGTGATGAGGAAGATCGGTTGCCTGGTTGCCTGGTTTGTGTGTGTGTGTGTGTGTGTGTGTGTGTGTGTGTGTGTGTGTGTGTGTGTGTGTGTGTGTGTGTGTGTGTGTGTGTGTGTGGTGTGGAAGACAGGCAATCAACAGTTCAACCCCCCTTCCCCTGTCACAACAAAGGCACGCATAACGGCCCCCGCCTCCTCCCATCATCACCACCTGCACCACCACCAACGCTGTGCATACCGGAAGCGATGAGCAACAGCTCCGACACCTTGGGCCGCTGGTCGAATTGCGTAAACTCGTATCGGCTGCAGATGGTCTTCAGGCTGGAGAGGGCGGTACCCAAGTGGTGGATAAAGCTGTCAAGCTGCGGCAGGGGACCGAGCGAACTGTGTACGCTGGCGGTGAGCTGCTGCACAAACAGCGAGGTGGCCGCCGAACCGGAACGCGCGACATTGCTCCCACACATCCACTCGCCCCGATCTTGCTGTGTCTTGGCGCGTTTCTCGGGTGGCTCGTCCCTGCCCGTGTCATCCACGTCCTGACTCCCATCACCATGCCGTGACGCCGTGGCACATGCTGGCGCTGGCGCTGGCACCTGTTGTTGTTGTCTCGGTGCACGATCACCTTCGGTCAGGTACCTTGCGATTTCTGCCGCGTTTGGCTGCATCCACACAAAGGGGTTGTACAGCATGTGCACAAGCTGTGGCGGCACGCTGCTCGCGCAGTAGCCCGTGTCTGTGACTGTGGGCGTTGACGGTATGTGCTCTGTTGGGGCTCCTGGTCTCAGGGCTCCTGGTCTCAGGGATGACGCAGATGGGGGCATGGGCACGGGCACTGCAGGTGCCTGCTGGTGTTGCTGTGGTCCCTGCTGCAGATGGTGTCGCTGGTGTTCGTCGTGTTGCGCACTGGCGGTGTGCGTGTGCCCTTGCTCGGGAGCGGGGTGTTGCTGTGGCGACTGGCGTGCTAACTGGTGCATCATAACCATCATCCCGCTGCCCGGATCCTGGTAGGTTGCGGTGTCAGCCATGGTGCTGGACGTTATCGGGGTGGCAGCAGTGGAGTATGGCAGTTGCTGAGATGGGAACGCCATGGCCTGGCGGTGCTGCTGACGGTGCTGCTGGCGGGTTGGCAGCACGCTGGATGGCTGTCGCTGTGCGGGCGATTGTTGCTGTTGGTAGGCATGGACGTGGGGGCAAGTGCGTGGCTGGTCCTGCTGCGTTGTTGACACGCGTGACACGCTGACAGGGACAGGGGCCATGTGGGGTGCACGGCTGACGCCTGCGGTGGTGGCAGCGGTGACGTAGCGGGGCTGTTCTGGCGAGTCACGGGGCTGTTGCTCCTGCTGCTGCTGCTGCTGCTGCTGCTGCATCACATGTTGCTGAAGTTGGTGTACCTGCTGCAGTTGCTGGTGGCGTTGCTGCCAGGCAACAGCCTCCACGCTCCGTTGGAATGCAGGGGCGTGTTGGTGGTGTGGGGCTTGGTGCACGCTTGCTGTGGGTGCCTTGAACGAAACGCCACCTGGGGACGTTTGCGGAGTTGAATCGCGCGTTCCAGCCGACATGCTCATCCCCGCGGATTCCGCATCATTCTGCGTGTGTGTGTGTGTGTGTGTGTGTGTGTGTGTGTGTGTGTGTGTGTGTGTGTGTGGATGTGTGCGCAGTTGTGCATGTGTGTTGTGAGCAAACGTTTTGGATGTTTGTCAATGAATGGAGTGAACAGTGAAGGACAGGAATGTTTCCTGCCACGCCTTGCATAGATGCCCTCAACAAGTACGGCGAGCCACTCGCGATCTCAGGCACTCACCCAGGTTGGCGCAAGGTCGGTTGCGGTGGCGCCATTGCCTTGTCTTGCCATGATGGAGCCTTGCATGGCGAGTGGAAGCTTGGAAGGGAAGTGTGGCTGGCTTGGTGATGAGTGGCGGTTCTTGGTTTCGTGCAAGCTCATTGATTGGTAGCCGGTGGTCGATTTCCTTTCAATGTCTCGTGGTCGCTGTTCAGGTTGGAGAAATGAACAAGTCAGGCATGCAAGTGTCAGTTCCAGGCAGAAGGCAAGCGCAAGGCGAAGTCGAAGTGGTGTCCACCAAAATTCACAGTCACAGTGACACAACCGACGATGACGCAGTCATGAAGTCCAGTTGTCAGCAAAAGTCGCAAATGGGTCTAAGCCAAAACCCAAAACTTAGGACAGCGAGACAGCGGCGTGTCAGGCCCACGCCCTTTGTTGAAAGATAGAAAAGGCGCAACAGAGCGCAACAAATGGAAATGCCACAACAGTGCGAAACAACGCACACGATCCAAACAAACAGTTGCTTGCCTGTTTGCCTGATCGTTCGCTTGTTACAACACGAACCAACCGTGTCGACGAATTGTGTTACGCCAGACAGGCAGGCACACAGGCAGAGGCAGAGGCAGAGGCGAGCCCGGACGAATGCCGTCAATGCGGTTGCCTCAAAGCGAGATGTGCTGGAGATATGCAAGACTCCGCCACCAACCACCCTGTCGACAAAATCAAACGTGTCCGTATGTGTCCGTTTGCGTGTGTGTGTGTGTGTGTGTGTGTGTGTGTGTGTGTGTGTGTGTGTGTGTGTGTGTGTGTGTGTGTGTGTGTGTGTGTGTGCGTGAGTGTGAGACAGGCGTGATGCATGCCAAAATGCGATTGACAAGTGAGCGAAGTTGATGATTCTTTAGCAAGAAAGGAGCCTTGAGGGCGGTCATCGACAGGCAACGGCATGGGGAGGGGAGGGTGCAAGGTAGGTAGGGATCACTATCATCACTATCGTCAGGGTATCGGTGCTGGGGTGTCGGCATGTTGTACATCAAACGGCCTCCCTCCCTCTCACCTGCTGTTCCAAAAACACCCCCCTGCCGTGTACACAAAGACGTCGTCGCAAACGCAGAGTTTATGTGTGTCAGAGGACAGCGCAGCTGTTCTGCCAAGCTGCACTTGTTTCAACGGAGTGGCTGCTTGCGGTGTGTAATTGCTGTTTTGTTGTTGTGAGTTGGATGTTGGGTTGGAAGGGAGAAAGCAATGGGCGCACAAAACTTGCCTTGGATTTTGCTTGCGTGGACTGAAAAATAGGATGACTCCGCATTTGGGCGACGCCCGCACAAGCCGCAGTCCTGGCTGGAGGAAGGGAGGAAAAGAGAAGGAGGAATCGAGAAGAACTGAGGCAACGGAGGAGGTGTACCTGCGACGCGCACGCCAACATAAACAACCCCAAACACAAACAAACCCACAAGCTGGAGCAGTCCTGCCTCGAGGAAGGCGGCTCTGCGTCGTCGCTCAGTCTCTTCTTGCTGCACTGCACAGCAGAACAAGATCTGACGACGTGCGTCATCAAGCTTGCCGTGTCTTGCTTCTTGTCTGTCCTCCCTGTCGCGTAACTTTCTCCACTTCGCTCCACTTCTTTGCACCATTCAAACCTTCGCGTCGCGCGCTCATCGTGCTTGCAAGCAAGCAACCTTAAACGCAAATTTGCCTTTCAAAAAGTCAAAATTGCTTTTGCCACGCAAAGCAAACCGTTGCTGTCGCAGCAAAAACAAAAACTTGCAACAAGCAACAAGCAAGCAAAGCCAAGCAAACAATGCCCTGCCTGACTGCCTGCAAGCACATACGCCGCCACAAAGCCACGCATCAGTTTTTCACACACACACGCAGCAAGTTCCCTGCCCTCAAACTCGCCTCGTTTGCTTGCTTGCTCGTTTGCTGCTAGGTAGGTGTGTGTGGTGGTGCGTGTGGCACGTCATCCTCATCACACAGCCAGCAGAACGCACGCTTGCTGCTGTCGCTACCATTGCACAGGCAACACGAGTCAAGAAGCAGAAGGAGCTCTGTGGTTGGTCACATCCGTCACTTTGTCACATCACACGCAACAGAACACACATCACACGCACAAAGTTCACTCAGGTCATTGCTGCTGTGCGCGCTCGCTCGCACGCTGCTGTCACCCAGACCCCCACTCTGCATTTGATCTTGCTCTGTTCCCCTCTCTGCCCTTTCCACCACCAGCTCGCATCCTGCTTCAACTGCCAGTCTCGCTGCTGTCACCCACCCACCCTTACTTACACACTTCCACTCACACACACACACACCCGACCACATTCACTCACTCACGCCCTTCACACACGCGCCACCCCACCCGCTCGTCTGCAATTCATTCCCCCCCCTCCTGCTGCCCACCCCATCACCACCAACACGTGGTATGTTGCTGTCTTGTTGCATTGGTGGTGCACATCCACCCACCTGCGTGCGGGCTTTTGTGTGCCTCACGCGGTTCTCATGGCACATCGCCAAACCGTTGCGCCACACCCCATATGTTGTGTTGTGTTGAGCTGGTTGGTTGGTTGTGCACATCAACACACGCGCGCGCACGCCTGTCACCCAAGCAGAAACACGCCCATTGTGCCATGCCAAACACCTACTGCACACCCACCGACCCACCCATTCATTGATCCGTTGGCTCATTCATTGCTTCGTTCATTTCCTGTTTTCATGTGACGCTGGATGCCATCGCTGTTGCCATTGATTCACTTTGGGCTCGCACCCGCGCCACCACGCCTTACTCTCTGCCCATCCATCGTCCCCACTCCACTCGTCGCGCGGCAGCACACGCAAACCATTGCTCGTTCCTTTGTTTCGCGTATCGTTCTCATCGCGCCACAACAACAACAACAACAACACCAACAACACCACCAACAACAACAACAACAACAACAACAACACCAACAACACCAACAACAACAATAACTCACGAAACACCAGGTGCGTGCCTACGCCTTGCCTTGTGTTGCTTCGCCACATCACCACCACCACCACCACCACCACCACCAATGGCAACAACGCAAACTACGCCATCACAGTGCCACAACATCACCTCAACCAACTGCGTGCTCTCATCTAATGGTGCTCCCTCCCCGCCTACGCTGTGCCACCACCACTGCCAACGATCACATCACGGCGCAGCCTTTGTTTCTTGCTTTGAAGGCTGACAGCCGAGCCGCATAGATAACGCGCGCCGGCATCTGTTCCTATCTGGAACATACCCTTCATGGCGCAGCCTCATCCCCAACAAACACGTTCCACCATGCGGGCAGCTGTGCTGCTCCTGTGCATCGTCACGACGGCCTTTGTCGCTCTCTCACGTGGTAAGCGGACCATAGGCTTTGCTTGCTTGTTCTTGGTTGCTTGCTTTTACACCCTTGCTTTTACTTGCTTGCTTGCGCATGCATGCATGCACTTGTAAGCGTTCTGTGGCAAGGTCTGACTGAGGGTGTTGCTCGCTCGGAGTATGCGCTGACACCACCACCACCGTCACCACTGTCACCACGGCACTGTTAGCACGTTATCCCAACACCCCCACTGCTAGTCACACTACCGTGGCTACACTCACCCCACTGCCACCACCAACACCACCACCGCTATCACCCTCACCTAACCCTTGCTCTTCTTGTTACTTCAGGCGTGGCAGCGCAGGACGTGCCGTTCCAGGCGAATGCAACGCTGAGCCTGCCGTTGCTGAATGCAGACTTTGAGATGCCGGCGCTGCTGTCTGGTGGCGACTCGGGCCCAAGCAACGACGTCCCAAACTGGGAGGCAACGCCCTCGGACGATCTCTCCAGCGCCTTTGTCGCCCGGCCCGCGCGTGGCCAGTATGCGCCGTTGGACCCGCTGCCCATGCCTGCAAGCAACCGCCAAGTGCTGCGCATGGGCGGCACCGTCAGCGTGGAACAGATTGTGTCCCCGGCCCAGCTGCGTGCCGCCCTCACAGACACCACGTCGTGCGCGCTGGCGTGCATTGACCACATCACCATCTCCTTTGCCTTTGGCCTCCCCGATGGTGGCGTTGGCAGCCAGGCACCAGGCACCGTGCGCTTGCTTGTTGGCTCGTCCCTGCAGACGCTCATCAACACCAACATCAACGCCGCCCCTGCGCCGGGTACCTTCTCCCTGGTCACGGTGGAGGCGGACGTGGACGGCGCCACCCTCGCCACCATGCTGACGCAGGGGCTTGTGCTGGGCGTGTCTGCGCTCGGCCGCACCGGTGACGGCTTTGACATTGACGCCATATCGCTCGTTGGCCGCCGCTGCGACGTGGCCGCTCCCATCTCCTCCCTGGGCAATGCAGACTTTAGCTCGCCGGACATCGCTTCCGGCCAGGCCACGCCCCCCTATTTCCCAAGCAACTGGACGCTGGGCGCATTTCCCGGCTCGTCGCAGCAGCCCACACTCAGAGCCGCCGTGACCAGCATCCCATCGTCGCTCGCTGCAAACGGTTTGCTGTCGCCGCCGCAGTGGCTTCGGCTGGAAAACACGGGCTCTCTCGCCCAGAACGCGTCCCTCTCCTCCCCGGACGCCCGCCTGTACGTCAACTCCGCACGCGGCACCGTCTTCGTTGCGCTTGGCGTGGTGGTGACCGAGGAGAGTTCGGTCGCGTTCCCGGACACATTTGATGTGGACGTGTTGGCTGCCGCTGATGGCGCTGTTGTTGCGTCCACCAGCATTGTTGCATCTCGCGACCTGACGGCAGATACGCCCACGTGCATCCCCGTTGTTGGGGCGCTTGACCTGTCACAGCAGAGCACGCGGGAGGCGTTGCTTGGCAGCGGGCTCACGGTCCGCTTTGCATCTGATGGACAGAAGACACGCGCCAATGTCGACCGCGTTCGTCTCTTCCTCTCCGCTCCGGGCCTCACGCAAGACGACATCACAACAACAACAACAACAACAACAACTACAACAACAACAACTACAACAACAACAACAACTACAACAACTACAACTTCAACAAGCACTACAACAACAACTACGACAACAACAACAACAACGACAACAACAACTACGACAACAACAACTACAACCACAACTTCAACAAGCACTTCGACGACGGCTGATTTCGCGGTGCCCGAGGACTATGACACATACTTCACGGAGCTGCCCTCCAATGCCACGCTGCTGTTCACGCCGAGCGAGGTGTTGCAAGACACCCGGTCCTCCTCAAGCCGCTGCTTCCAGCTGTGCACGCTGAGCCAGTCGTGCCTTGGCGTTGTGTTGTCTAGTCCACGTGACGGCGGTGCGACGTGGCGGTGTGTGCTGCTGTCGGGCTTCGACCAAGACACGTTTGCGGACAACTCAGACCCCAACCGCCACTCGCTCACCCGCAATGTCATGACCACCACCATCACCGTCGGAACGCCCCCAGCAGCTTCCACAACAACTTCAACGACGACCACGACAATGACAACGACAACGACCAGCACGAGCACGACTGAGCTTGGGCCGCTCGAGTTTTCGCCGCGTGTGATGGAGTACTATGACCTGGTGTATGTTGGTGCCGTTCCCGGCAACGAGGGCAACGTGTCTGAGTTTTCTGCCGTTGACGAAGTGGGCGGTGTTGTGGACACGGTGGAGACAGACGACCCAGACACGTGCTTTGCGCTCTGCTCGCTGCAGGCCGCGTGTGTCGGCGTGTATGTCCGCGCCACGGCAGCAGACAACATCACCTGTGCGCTGATGCGGTTCCTGGGCACGGAGCAGGTCACCACCCGCTACTCGTACTCCTTTGAGAAGCGCCCGACAACCACGCAGTCGTCCACCACCTCCACCCCGCCGCCATCCTTCACCCTCTCCCCGGAGCTGCAGGCCAAGTACACGGTGGTGTATGAGGGCCACGTTGCAGGCAACACGGGGCCCTTCTTCGAGTTTTCCACGGCATACGACGCGGCGGCGCTGTTGGATGTGGAGCGCGCCATCACCCCTGACCTGTGCCTGCTGCGCTGTGAGAACGTGGATGCGTGTCTGGGCGCGTATGCGTACGTTCGCAACGACGCGTGGCGGTGTCGGTTGCTGAGCAACCTCGGCGTGTCTGCTGCCTCTGCCGTCGCCTCGTACAGCTACAGCCGGAACAACCCGCCAAACGCCACAACAACCGCAGCACCGTCAAGCACAGCAGCTGCGACCAGCAGCACCACCACAGCAGGAGGGACACCGCAACCATCGCCCGTGGCAACAACGCCAGAGCCAGCAACAACAACGACGGTGCTCATCACAGGCACACCCATGCCGTCTCCAACACTCATCACCTCCACGTCGCTCCTGCCGACATCCACGAGCACCACGACGCAACTGCCTTTATCGTCATCATCATCGACTACCACAGCCACGACGACAACAAGCACAAGCACAACAACTACTTCAACAGCAACGCTTGTGGTTCCCGCTGGGTTTGCGCGTGCGTTTGCGCAGTTGAACGAGACGGACACATTCGCCTACAAACCAGAGCACGTGCGGCGGCGTGTTCGCTTGCAGTCGTCGTCTTGCTTCAACCTGTGTCTTTCCGATGCGTCGTGCATGGGCCTCGTGTTGCAGGAGCCTGGCTCTGACCAGTGGGACTGCGTGTTCTTGTCGGACTTTGACGGAATTGTGCCGGCCACCATGCCCTCGCAGTACTCGTTCATGCGCCTGCCATCCACCGCAAGCACCACCACCACCACGACCACCACCACCACAACCACAACGACGACCACGACCACAACCACGACGACGACAACAACACCACCACCAATTGTGGTGCCAGAGTCGTTTACCGAGCTCGGCGGCGACGAGGTGTTCACATATGCGCCAAAGCACGTGCTGCGATCGTCTCGCACATCCGCGCAGACGTGCTTCAACCTGTGCCAGCTCTCGTCCACGTGCCTTGCGCTCATCCTTGACGCCCCCGGGCGTGGGGCGTGGGCGTGCACGCTGCTGTCCGACGTCACTGGGGTGGAGGACAACACGGACCCGAACCGCCACAGCTACATGCGCAACATTGCCACCACCACCATCGTCCCAGAGACGGTCACGGAGACAACGACCACGACGACCACCACCACCACGACCACAGCTTCCCAGAACATCACGACCACCAGCACCACGACGTTGAGTACGACGACAATCACGACCACATCGTCTTCATCGTCAACGTCGTTCTCTGGCGGTGGTTCTGGCACCAGCACCAGCACTTCCACAACCACGACCACGACGACGACGACGACGACGACGACGACGACGACGACGACGACGACGACGACAACGACGACGACGACCACTTCGACGTTGCCACCGATTGCGGTTCCAGACACGTTCACGGAAGTGAACATCACGCTGACGCTGACGTATGCACCGAACCACGTGCTGTCGTCGTTCCGCCAGTCGTCAGACATGTGCTTTGCATTGTGCAAGCTGTCACCCACGTGTTTTGGATTGATCCTGGACAGGCCGGGCAACAACACGTGGCAGTGCACGCTGCTGTCGTCATTCACGGGCACGACAGCAAACAGCGACCCAGACCGCCACAGTTACACGCGGAACCTCGTCACATCCACCGTCACCCCGGCCACGACCACCACGACAACCACCACGGTGTCTAGTTCTGGCGAGACTTCGACCAGCACCACAACAACGACAACGACTACCACGACAACCACAACCACGACAACCACAACGACAACGACGACGACACTGACAAACGTCACAATGACGACGACAACGACAACAACAACAACAACCACGGAGTCAAGTTCTGGTGAGACATCGACCAGCACCACAACAACGACGACAACGAGTTTGAACGAGACGTCCACCTCATCTCCTTCCACAACAACGACGACCATCTCCACCACCGGCACGCGCAACACCACGACCACGACCACGAGCACGTCGACCACAACTGTCGCTACAAACACCACCACAGCCACCGCAACAACAACAGCACCGCCTGTCACGGAGACATCCACTGGAAGCATTTCTCTCACGACCACATCGACCTCGCAGATTGGGTCGTTCACGTTCTTCATCGCCGCTGACTTTGACGCGCTTGCAGGCAACGACCGGCGCCGCACACGCTTGGAGATGTCTCTTCGCGAATCATTGGGGCAGCAGGGCATCGACACGTCAAGTCTGACGTTTTCGTTTGCGCCCGGGTCTGTTGCTGTGACCGTCACGGGACCCTCGGCGGATGTTGTTGCCGTTCGTGATGCAACCATGGCGTCCAACCTTATGCTCACGCACAACGGCGAAACCTACGCCCTCCTCTCAAGTGCGTGTGTGTGGGTATGTGTGGGTGTTGGTGTGGGTGTTGGTGTGGGTGTTGGTGTATTAAGGGCAACAGCAGCAGTCATGTTGTGTGTGCTCATGTGCATTTGGAGCAACAGCAATGATTGCCTTTGCGTTCGTGCGTGTTTTTTGCCGCTGCCACTGTAGCTCTGTTCTTCTCTGTCGTCAACATGCTGTGCCACATCTCACCTCCACCCCCCCCCCCCCCGGCGGAATCTCGCAAATGCAGGTGCACCACCCACGACCACCCCGCCGCCACAGCAGGCGTCATCATCGGATGACACGGGCGCCATTGTGGCCGGGGTTGTCGTTGGCGTCGTTGTTGTCGGGTTGCTGCTCACCGTCGCTGTCATGCGGCACAAGCAGCACACGAAAGGCACATATGTTGTTGACGAGGACCAATTGCCGCCAGAGGAAGTGGTGTCGCCGACCGAGTTTGCCTACGACGACTTCCAAGCCCTGTATCCGACGGAGGGCTCCAGCACATCGCTGCTGCAGTCAGATGCTGAGCGCACGTACTCGTTCCGCGAGCCACCGTCATCCGCGACCGAGACGAAATCGCTGGACCCGTCACTGGCGTCGCTGGTGATGAGTGACCCGGGCAACATGCACCTCGCCCCGCCGGCCCCACGCATGCGCATGCACAACACGACGCAGGCGGACAAGAAGCAACATCAGCAGCAGCAGCAACAACAAGGACAACAACAAGGGCAACAGCAACAACAGCATCAAGGGCACCCGCCCATCTCGCAGGAGCACTTGCAGGCGCCTGACGGGAACTTGCTCGAGCACGACACGAGCCGGTCGAGCACAGCGACGGTGCGCAACTCTGTTGTGGAGTTGGATATGGACACGCCAGAGAGTCACACCAGCGCGGGTGGGGCGCACCACATGGACA